GGTACGGGGGCAACACTGAGGGTTGCGATCCGTTGCCGGACATGGAAAAAGACAAAAGAAAAAAAAAAAAAAAAAAAATTTTTTTTGAACTTTAGATGTATAGATTTGCAAGAAAAATTTCATAAACTCCACATTTTTCTACATTTGCTTTCTTTTTCTCTGTGTTCTCCAAACAAGGACTTCCCTTACATAATGCAAAACAATAATCAAAATGAGAAACTTCACATTGGTACATGTTATCTTATCTATGGATTTTATTTAGATGTTTGTAATAGTCCCAGAAGGAAAAATTTCAAGATTATGTCTTGCAATTAGTTTTCATGTCTCTTCATCTCCTTTAGTCTAGAACAGTTCCTTGTTGATTTTTTTGCATTACACAACATAGATATTTTTGAAGAGTACAAGCCAGTTTATTGTGTCCTGCAATTTGGATTTGTCTGATGTTTCCTCATGATTAGATTCCATTTATTTTTTTTTGGCAGTAATACCACCAAAGGGATGCTGCACTCTTGTCAGTGTTTAAGAGGCACATGCTATCAATTTGTCCCATTACTGGCGATGTGATCATTAGTTAAGGTGGTATTCTCCACTGTAAAGTTACCATTTTAGTGTTTGTAGATAATAAGTATTTGTGGGGAGATAACCTTGATACTATAAGCATCCTTTTCACCCATTAGTATTATGAGCATTATTGATGATTCTTGCCTGAATCTATTATTTGTAGATTGCCACATGGTGGTTTTCTAATTCTACTGTTACTTCTGCACTTATTAATTGGCTTTCTACTATGAGGGAGTTTTTCTTTCTCTACTATATATTTACTTATTTTCATTTTTTTTTTTTTTGTCTTTTTTCGTGACCGGTAAGGGGATCCCAACTCTTGGTGTGGTGTCGCCCGCACCGTGCTCAGCCAGTGAGCGCACCGGCCATTCCTATGTAGGATCCGAACCCGTGGCGAGAGCGTCGCTGCGCTCCCAGTGCTGCACTCTCCCGAGTGTGCCACGGGGTCGGCCCCTTATTTTCATTTTTATGTCATCTTTAATTCTTACATTCGATAGATTATAAACCTTTATTAGCATTACTTATTTTGATGCTCAAATTATTCCATATTTTGCCTTTGAACTGGTTCCTGTATCCTTTTAATATGTCTGCATCATTTTTTGAGCGCTTTGTTGCTTTTTGATATTATAATTCAGGCTTATCTTGTTTGTTTCCTGCTCAGCCCTGTAATCAGCCATTTCTCTAAGGAGCCTTGATTCCTTTCAGAGGAGGGACTTCAAATTGCAGAGAATTATTTCAAAAGGAATATGTTTGTAATTTTGCTCACACATTTAATAGGCAAAAAAAAAAAGATAAGTAAGAGTATTTTTGTGGTTAGTAAGTACATTAACTTGTCTGTATACTACCATTTTATTGAAGGGGATAGTTGTGTTTAGTGAAATTTTATATGAATAATCACTCTTGGTTATCATTCAGAAAGCAGGGTATATGTTGCAAATTTCAGGATTCCTTAACTAAAAAAAATCATCAAATTCCTGATTGGGGATAGTTGTGTTTAGTGAAATTTTATATGAATAATCACTCTTGGTTATCATTCAGAAGGCAGGGTATATGTTGCAAATTTCAGGATTCCTTAACTAAAAAAAATCATCAAATTCCTGATTCCAGATATTAAAAATTAATAGGAAGAAGAGTGATTTTAAGAAAATTAAAACAAATAATAAGCAAGCAAATGTGTTTTTTTCTAGACTGGATATGAAAAAAATATGACACCAGGACAAAATAGAGAACAACGAGAAAGGTAATGTCATTTAACATACAGCTAAACTTCTTTATATTTAATTCATAAAGTCCATATTTGATTTACATATACCTTTTTGAAGATTAAGATGATTAAAAAATAGAACCTTTACCCAAAATAATCTGTCATCTTTTAAGATCACATTCAGCTGTATATTTATTTTCTTACTTGTGAACAGTTCAGGTTTTTAGGTATTTAGTTAACAAGTTATGGGCAAGAATAATATATCTATTATTTAAATTTTCTTTTTGTCAGTGGCTTTTCATACCCAAATTTCAGTATGCCCGCAGCCAATGGTTTGTCTTCTGGAGTAGGTGGTGGAGGTGGCAAGATGAGACGAGAGAGAACACGCTTTGTTGCTTCTAAACCTCCAGAGGAAGAGGTAGGGTCATATACTTAATACTCTTCAGGTTTATTAAAAGATTTGATGTGGTGGTGGTAAGGGGAGTTCTGGAGGGGTGGAGTTTTGGGAGACCCAGAGTATGAATAAGCTGCCATTGAAACAGTCCGAAAACCTAGCCTAGTACCTTAAGTTTCATGGGTATCATTATCAGCACCACACTCTCCCGAGTGAGCCACCGGGCCGGCCCTTCATGGGTATCATTTAAAAAAAAAGAAAAGAAAAGAAAAAAAAAACCCTCATAATTCTTCAAATAAGGGAATTTGCAGTTGGAATTATTTGACCCTTGGGGTATTACTGTATAGTTTTGCCCATTTCTATAACTTACATAAATAGATTAATACTGTATATATTTTTCTCACTTCCCCTTTTCTCTTTTTTGTGTCTGATTTATGTTGTAAAAGGTAGCTATAGGTTATTTAATTTCTCTGCTATATATTTATCCAGTATGAAGATTAATCACAGTTAATCCATTCTACCATTATGGTACATTTGGGTTGATTTCTAATACCTGCTAAGGTGACTGTTTATGTACTTTTCTGTCAGCACATGTTCAATATTTTCTTTAGGGTATTTACCTAGGAATGGAATTGTTGGATTATACGGGATGATACATATCTTCAAGTATGTTAGATGTTGCCTTATTACTCTTCAGGGAAGTTTTGTAATTTAATACTTCCACCTGACAGTAGGTCTTTATCCTTACCAGTCCTTGGTTTTGTTAATTTTTGAATTTTTGCCAGTGTGATGAATGTGAAGTGGTATGCTATTGGAGTTTTGTTTTGCATTTCCGTGTTTACTAGGGAAGGGGAGACATGTTTTCATGTGTTTCTTGGCCATTTGGTTTTCTGTTTATCCATTTTTTTCTATGGGGTCATATCTTTTATCAGGAAGAGTTGTTTATATATTCTGATCATGTTTGGAAAAGATAGGGACTAATTGAGGATCGGTTAAAATAAACTGTCTGGAGGTTGCTCTGTTGTTGACTTTCTGTCTACTTTGAGTTGAGCACAGGTCTCATTTCAGATTTTTAATTTATTATTTATTTTATTTATTGCATTTCAGCATAGCTGGATCATTTAAGTTTTGAAATAGAGTGCTATCATTTGTCATTTGTTTCTTATTAAAATTTCATTTGTGACTTTTCCATTGACCCATGAGTATTTTAGGAATGTATTTTTAGGTTTTTAAACACAGGTCTTCTGTTTCTGTTGACTGTGAAATCATGTTTTGATTGAAGTTGTTGGATGACTTAGTGCTAGTTTTCTTCATGTCTGTTGGTATTTTGCTTTGCAGGCTTATTTAGAGTGGGAAGTTTTTCTTTTTCACTTTTTATCTCTCCTTTTTCCCAGTTAGTACTTCTGTAATTTTGCCTTTGGCTCACCAGAATCATGACTTCTTTGGCAGTTTGGACTTTTTGCCATATAGCCTGCCTTGTCATGATATTTGGAATTATGCTAGGGACTTTGACTCAAGTACTGGTCTGGAGGCTCTATAGTTTACGGAGCAGTCTCTGCTTGTCACTCTGCTGGAGTGTTGTGAAGAGAGGGAATGTATTAGTGTATTCTACCATCTTGAAAGAAAACTTCAGTCTTGAATGCCACTGATCATACAATATGTAAAACTTTGTGGTTTTTGTAGCAAACCAGTTTTCTTTTGTTGTTAAAGCTCTTAATGTAGACTTTATTAATTACAGTTAAGAAATGGGTTGCCTTGCCTTGTATGTATAAGGAATTTATTTTCTGATTAATATTACATGGGCTTATTTTTGGACAAGCTTTTATATTTCCTGGTAAAATTTGTAGCCCCACCTTTTCTAAAGTTTATTTATCCCTGTGTGAGGAAAAGAAAAATATTAGCTTGGTTTGGTGTTTGCCAGATGACAGATCATATAGAGTAGTTCATTTCCTTCAGTTTCAGTTTTTTTCTAAGATCATAAGCTAAAGCTCAGGTTGGTACCTGTGGGTTAATTTTAGCTGTCTAGTAGATGTGTTTTGTGTGACTTTGCTGTATTGGTACAGGTTTTTGGTTTTATTAATTCATTTAGTTTTGTTCTTATTGCCTGGTATTCTAACCAGAGGAGCTTTGTGGAAAAACTACGTCTCCTCCCCCATGTCTTCGTCACCTTCTCTGGGCCCCTCCCTCTCCATTCTGATCAACTGCCAACTTCACATCCCAGGATGCTTTAGCCAACTCCTGCCCTGGCTCTATTCCACACTGGAGTTATAGTCTGTACATTTCTGAGGAAAGAGGTACTAGTGGATGGCTGCCCCAAGTTTTCTGTCCACCCCGTGTTTTTTGTGTAGATAGAGTAGGTTTGGATACACACTTCTGTAGTTATTTGAATCTGATGCTGCCCCCACCCCACCATGATAACAAGTATGTTAGGACCACTAGTTGTTTCTTAATTCAGTTAGAGTTGGTGGGAATTTTTGGCAGAAGATTGAAAGTTCATTTTTTTGTGGGTATTTTAATGGGCCTTGGGAAAGGTCAAATGGAAGAAATTTATTTTGGAGCACATTAATGGATTATGCTAATTTCAGATACTATTGCTGCTTGGTGTATTTTGATTCACTAAACATTTGGGTTAATAGAGCTCTGTATTTAAAGTAATATATTTTGCAGTATGAAATAGTGAGAGTGTGTTGTAGCTTTCATTTTAGATAACAAAATGTGTAAGAATTGTAGTCACTAAACATATTGGCATTTTGCCTCTACTGTGATACCAATCTGTAAGTATTTTTATAATTAAAAAGCTCATTGATAAAGAACAGGTAAGCAGTGTATAATAATAAGACAGAATTTGGAGAGATTTAATTGCTTGCTATTGTCATGTACAGTCTGCCATTTATTAGCTGTGTGGCCTTGGTCAAAATAACCTGTACTTCCTCAGTTTCCTTATCTGTAAAATGGGAATAAGAATAAATACATTGAGGTTGTACCTGTAGAATGTCTGCCACTTAAAAGTGGTGTGATTTTTATTTTGTTTTATATTTTTGGTAGCTGGCTGGTAAGGGGATCTGAACTCTTCCCCTTGTTGTTATCAGCACCATGCTTTAACCAAGTGAGCTAACTGGCCAGCCCCTATTGCTATATGATTTTTTGGCCATTGATTTCCCCTGCCTCAGTTTCTTCATCTGCAACCGTAGTATCTACCACACTTGAGAGATAACCCATGTAAAGGTGTTACAAAGGTAACATATATAATGTAAGTCATCAAATAATTTATTAGTGTCAAATTAACTTGATTGATGTGTTCAATTTGAGGTGTCTGTAAGCATCCAATTGGCAGAATTCTTGACTTTTTCCTTCTAGTTTAGTGGGACCCACTTATGATGTACTAAATCAAAATTTGGCGGAACAGGAATCAAATTATAGAGTTGGTTCAAGGTCAGTAATATAAAGGACCAGTGTAGTCAAGTGTCTGGCTTAATGAGTTGGCATGAAATAGTAGGTTATATGATTGTTTCTAGGGCTCTAAAGGCAAGAAAATAAGGCTAAAGGCTGGAGAGAGAAGAAACTTCCCTACAGAAATAGCCAGAAGCATTTTGTTTGCCTCTCACACCTATCTATTATGACAAGTTTCAAATATATGAAATGCTGAAAGAATTGTGCAGTCAATACTCATACGTAGCACTTAGACTCTAACATTTTGTTATATTTGCTTTACATACTAAATATCCATCTATCCATCTTTTTTTGGGGGGGGTATATTTCAAAGTAGTTGAAGACATCAATACACTTCACCCCCAAATACGTAGCATGAACTAGAGTAACATACTTGTTCTTTTTCTAATTTTGCAAAAATTGGCTGGTCGGTTAGCTCAGTTGGTTAGAGCATGGTGCTGTAACATGATGGTACAGGGTTCAATCCCTGTGGCCAGCCACACACATACACACACGCATGCATGCACGCACGCGCGCGCACGCAAAAATTTGTGTAGTACAATGTAAAATTCCTAGGTTTACCATTTAATGAATTTGACAGATGCTTACATCTGTGTAACCCAAACCCCTGTCAAGATAAAAGACATTTTCATCACCCCAGAAAGTTCACTCTTGCTCCTTCCCAGTCAATTCCCATCATGTTCTACTTCAGTGACAATCACTGTTTTCATTTTTTCCACGATGTATTGGTTGTGCTTGTTCTTTAACTTCATATAAATAGAGTTATTCAGTATGTATTCTTCTGTTTCTGGCTGTTGTGTATAAAGCTGCTCTGAATGTGTAGAAGTCTTTTCGGAAACATGTTTATTTCTCCTGGGGTAAATACTTGGAAGTGAAGGTGCTAGTTTGTATGTTAAGTGTTTAACTTTTTAAAGAATTGCCAACTGTTTTCCAAAGTGTGCATTTTATACTTCTGCCAACAATAAGCATTTTAGTTACTCTGCATCCTTACCAATAGTTGATTTCTGTTTAATTTTAGCTATTCCAGTTTGTGTATGGTGGTTCTCATTGTAATTTTAATTCATATTTACTTGATAACTAATAATATTGTATTCTTTTTTTATGTGCTTATCGGGCATTTGTCTATCTTCCTTGATGAGGTGTGTGATCAAATCTTTTGCCCTTCTAAAAATTGGGTTGTTTTATTACTGAGTAATAGGAGATCTTTATAAATTCTGGACTCAAGTACTTTTTGTCAGATACATGTCTTAAATATTTTCTCCCAATGTGGCCTGCTTATTCATTTTCTTAATGGTGTCTTTTAATCAGTAGATGTCCTAAATTTTGTGAAGTCTGAATTTATCTTTTTTTTTTGTTTCATTATTTTTACTGTTCTTTGTGTCCTAAGAAACTGTTGCCTATCCCCAGACTGCAAAGATATTCTTTTCTGTTTTCTTCTAGAAGGTTTATAGTTGTGATTTTATGGTTTTTTTCCTAATTTCCCATTTGATTTCATATTTGACCCATGGATTATTTAGAAGTTTGTTTAATCTCTAAATTTTGGGGAGGTTTTATTGATTACTAATTTAACTTCATTGTGATTAGAGAAAGATTGAGATCATGATTTTAATGTTTTGACATGTATTGAGGCTTGTTTTATAGCCCAGCATGTGGTCTGCTTGGTAATTCTTGAAGAATATATATGTTCTTCAGTTGTTGGGTATAGTATTGCATGATGTAAGTCAATAAAGAGATTGATAGTATTTCTTAGATTGTCTTTGTTCTTATTTAATTTAATTTTAGGGGGGGATTATGGTTAGCCTATAAAATTATTGAGAGACGGGGTTGAAATGACCATCTTTTATTTGGTAAATTATCTTTTTCCCTTTAATTATGTCAATTTTTACTTCATGTATTTTGAGGCCCTCATTAGAGCATACATCATATATTTGTTGTATGCCTTCGTAATGATTTGTACTTTCAGTATTATTAAATGTCCTTTTTAAATAAAAAAAATCTTTGGAAATATTCTTTGTCTTGAAATCTGATGTTAATATAGTCACTCTACTCTTATTAGAATAAGCCTTCTTATGCTTACTAGTTGTAGGGTATATATATATTTTTGATCCATTTACTTTCAACCTATCTTTTACTTTTAAAGTTAAGTCTCACTTAGACAGCATATAGCTGAGTTGAGTCTGCCTTTTATACATTTTCTGCCTTTTAATTGGAATGTTTAATCCATTTATAGTTAATGTAATCATTGTGGTTGGATTAAGGTTTACTGTTTTTCCATTATTTTCTGTTTTTCCCATTTGTGTTTTGTTTCTCTCTTGCTTTTTTTGAATGCTGCCTTTTTGGGGTTAGCCAAATATGTATTAGAATTGCATTTACATTTATTTGTTGACTTTTTAGCTCTACCTCTTTGTGTTTAGTGTTTCCTTTTGGGATTATGATATCTTAACTTTCTACAGACTACTTTATGTCACTACTGTACCACTTCCTGTAAAATTTAAGAATCTTGCAACTGTGTAGTTAGATTTGCTATCCCTCTTCCTTGGCATTTTATGCTATACTTACCATTTGTATTACGCCTAGACAGGCTGTAAAACCTTCAGTACCTGAAGTAAACCAGAGTACTTCAAAAGTTTGTGGAAAAAATAGAATTAAAAGATAATACAAATCTTTCTGTGAACTTTTTGATGTACCTTTCTACTTGCTTTATATGGTTATATATATTTCAAAGAAATTAAGAGAAAAATGTTTTTTTATGTTTGCTCATGTATTCTTCTTCTTCTTCTTCTTTTTTTTTTAAAGATGACCGGTAAGGGGATCTTAACCCTTGACTTGGTGTTGTCAGCACCACATGAGCAAACCAGCCATCCCTATATGGGATCCGAACCTGTGGCCTTGGTGTTATCAGCACCACACTCTCCCGAGTGAGCCACAGGCCGGCCCATATTCTTCATTTCTAAATTCTGAGTTTCCATTTGGTATCATTTCCTTTCAACTTGAAGAACTTGTAGAGCAGGTTTTATGGCAACAGATTCTTTATTTTATCTGAAAGTGTCTTTATTTTGCCTTTGATTTTTGTATCAACATTATCAAGGCGTGATATATGTATGAAAACTGCATCCATTTGAAGTATTCAAATTGTTTTAGGTGGCAGTGCACTTATCTGAACTCAAACTCTATCGCCTTTGTGGTGGGCAGCAGCTGAAACTCCTTAGTTTTATTCAGCTGATTAGTGTCTGCCTTACCACCTGTGTAGTTTATTGGTCCACCAGAGATTTGGGTGGTTTATGTGCAGATTTTGGGGCTCCCATTCTATGGCTCTTCATTCCTGTATCCCCCCTCATATTCTAGCTGCTGTGGTCACCCCAGACTGTTCTCAAGTTCCTCAACTAATAGATTTGCAGTGTTTTCTCAGAATTTTAACTCCCCGATGGCACCAACTCATGAAGAGAACAGGAAAGCTCACTCAGTGCCCTTTCCTATCCAGTTTCTGCTTGCTTTTTTGCTCTCCAGTGCTTTCAAATGGTTTTTATATTTTTTCTAGAGTTTACAATTATCTGCCAGAGCATTGGTCAGATAGGTAGAAGCTACTTTACCTTTAGCAGAAATGGAGCTCTTGTTTATTCCTACTCTGGGTCATTCGAGACTTGGTTTGTTCTTTATTTACTCTTTTGGGTTAAAAACCAAGGTAGCTCACCAGACTCATCAGTACTGACAAGTTATTAAATGCTTGTTTTACATGACAAGAACATACATAACTTTATGTTTTATATTAATACCACAATTGTGGTGTAGAGTAAGAATTCTTTTTTCCCCATTTTTACCAATTAGGAAATTGGTGCAGAGGGCAGTTGGGTTCTCAAAGTCACCTGGCTGGCTAGTGGCATACTCGGTATTCAAATCTTAGTTTTTTGATTCAAGAGCCCACATTGTTAACACTGCTTGGTACTACCTTCTACCTGTTTTGAATTTACCTATAACTTAATTGATTCTACCTGAAAATAAGTAGAGATAAAGTAATCATGTGAAAGATGAAATATATCATTATAAAACGTGTGTTTTAGGAAATGGAAGTACCAGTATTACCGAAAATCTCTCTACCAATCACCAGTTCTTCACTACCTACCTTCAATTTTAGTTCTCCTGCGATCACAGCTTCCACTCCAACACCTATCAGTCCTTCTCTGTCATTAACAAACAAGGTACAGAACCATTGTATAAAACAGGTGATTTCCATTCTTTCTTATTTCTAAAAATCTAATACGCTTTTTAAAGCAGTGATTAATTTTCACTGTGGAAATTAAATAACATAGTAAGCAGAGAGAAATGGAAATGGTGTATATACACATATCTTGGATGTATTATAGTGGGAATGTTCTTCAGCTCTTATGCAGCACATTAGAGAAGATGGTTGTAAGTTTGTTTCCAAACAGTGTTTCCAATAAGATGCTTTTTTTGGTAAGAATGGATTTATGTTTTTACTCCTCAGGAAGGATTAACACCTTTAATCTGCCCCTGAAAATTTTTTTTTGTTTTTTTTCTGGCTTTTACTTTTTCTGAACATACAAGGGGTCTTCAAAAAGTACACAGAAAGATTCAGAGTATCTTTTAATTCTGTTTCTCCATGAACTTTTTTTTTTTTTTTTTTGGTCTTTTTCCGTGTCCGGCAACGGATCGCAACCCTCAGTGTCGCCCCCGCACTGGACCGGGACCGGCAACGGGACCGCAACCCTCGGTGTTGCTCCCGCGCCTCGCTCAGCCAGTGAGCGGCCGGTCTGTATGCGGGATCCGAACCCTCGGGCGGGAGCGCCGCCGCGCTTCCCAAGCGGCGCACTATCCAGTGCGCCACCGGGCCGGCCCCTCTCCATGAACTTTTTGAA